GTCCTCAGTAAGGGGTAGATCTGGGGGGATGGTGAAAACTCGGCAGGGCTGGGTGCTGCTGTCTCCTCTGGAGCTGCTGGCTGTGGAGGCTGTGGGCGGAGCGTCGTCGGCGTCGGCCGAAACGTCAGCCTCTCTGCTCCTATGATGCTGCTTGGCCTGCTGTGTTCATCCAGCCCTGCACCTTGTTGTCTCGGATTCACCAGCATCTGCAGTTCCAACTATCTCTCTTTCCTTTTGGCCATTTTATTTCCTGCATGGACCTGGTATTGTTAATCCACACTATGAATGTGCACTGATATTTCGTGAGTATTTGCAGGAGAACTCTCATTCCAAACTCAGATTGTCCAAATCTGAATGTCCAGTTTAACAGAGGTTTAGAATGCACAGGTAAGGTCCACTCAACTGCAGGGACGTGTAGGATATGGAAGAATGCAAAAATTAGGACATCTTTGCAAGGCAGGTTGTTTTCATGTTTCTTTTATTATACATAGAACATAGAACAGTACAGCACATTACAGGCCCTTTGGCCTACGATGTTGTGCCGACCTATTAACCTACTCTAAGATCAAAACTAACCTGCATTGGTTATAATTGATGAGAAATAACTAACAGCGGGTATAATCAAACAGGTAGTTGCAGGGGAATAAGGGTATAAGTTATAAGGGTATGTTGGATAAGCCGCAAGAGAAGTTTGTCAGGAGATTTGACTTTTGGGGAAAAAAAACATGACACAGCCAGACAGTGTAGATACAGAAAATCATCCATCATTGGTGGAAGGGTCAAGTAGATGCCAGTTTGAGGGGGGGTCAGCGACAGAAATAGTAGTGAGATGAGGATAGACACTCATTCATGAAGTGGGTGTTTTTGGAACTGAAGTATGAGCCTGGGAGTAGGAGGGATGCAGATTATACAGATTGCAGAGCTCTGGCATGCAGAAGGATCTGGGTGGCCGTGTGCATGAATCTCAGAAGGCTGAACCTGGGAGGACAATGGGGGCAGATTTCGTTGTGATTTTCAAAAAAGGATCTGGAGTTGACGAGGCCATGGGTCATGTACTTCTCTGTAAGCCATTCCCATTGGCTTACTGGTGCTGAGAGACCAGCTGGGCCAGGGCCTAGGATGTTATCCCAGGTCTGTCTCCCCTTTGGGAAAAAAAAAGCTAAATGAAGAACAGAAAAAAGCAGGATTGATTCCATTGCCAAACAAATGACTTCATAAAATGTCTTCATATGAATATGGAGTGGGCGTAGTCCATTCAGCCCCTCGGGCCTGGTCAGTCACTTAATCAGATCAGCCACGATCTTATTGTAACCTCAAATCCACATTCCAGCCTATTCCTGACAGTCCTTCACCTCGCCTTGCTTCGCAAGAATCTATCCACCTCTGCCTTGAAAACATCTAAAGAGTCTTCTTCTACCACCCTTTCAGGAAGAGAGTTTTAAAGACTCACAATCCTAAAGTAGAAAGATGTTTTAAATGGGTGACCTTTTATTTTTAAACAAGTGGCCTCTAGTTCTAGATTCTCACAGAAGAAGAAACATCCTCTCAGTTTCTACCTTATCAGGACTTCTCAGGATTGTGTTAATTTGTGACCTTCTAAACTCCGGTGGGTTCAAGCCTAACATATCCAACTTTTCTACATAAGACAACCTGCCCATTTGTTTTTAGTTTGATGAACCTTCTGTGAACTGCTTCCAAAGCATTTACACCCTTCCTTAAGCAAGAACACTATTATTTGACACAGTGCCCCAGATGTGATCTGTGGCATAACCTTCTTAACTTTATATTCAATTGCCCTCACCAGAAATGATAATATTCTACTCGCCTTCCTAATTACTTGTGTGTACCTTCGTACCAGCCTTTTGAGATTCATGCACAAAGCCACGCAGATCCTTCTGCATGTCAGAGCTCTGTAATCCATGTAATCTGCATCCATCATACTCATAGGCTCATACTCCAAATCCAAACATCCACTTCATGAATAAATGTCTTTCCTTGGCTCACCACTGTTTCTGTGCTGATCTCCTCGAACTGGCATCTAACTGACCCTTCCACCAATGACAAATGTTTTTCTCTCTCTATACTATATGGATGTCTCATGTTTTGTTTCCAAAAGTCAAACTTCCTGACAAAATTCTCTTAGGGGAAACAACCTCAGCTTCTCCAATGTCCCCTTGTAACTGCAATCTCAGGCTGTTTGATCAACCAGGTATTAGTGATTTCTCACCAATTCTATTTAATACAACTTGTTGTTTTTATTCTTCATGCCAAAATGCACAATTTCACATTTATCCATTTGCCAGATCTCACTTAACCTAACTATATCTTTTGTAACCTCCTTTTATGTCCTGTCCATAACCTGAAAAAGATTCATTTATGCCTACCCTGTGCTTTCAGCCAATCTTCTATCCATGCTAATGCGCTATCCTCTACATAATGAGCTTCTTTCTTTTACAATAATCTTTGATGTGGTTCTTTAGCGAATGCCTCTTTGATTGTAGAAAAGTCCTATTATCATAGAGTCATACAGTTTTACAGCATGGAAACAGACTCTTCGGTCCAACTTGTCTATGCCAACCAGATATCCTAAATTAATCTAGTCTCATTTTTCAGCATTTGGCCCAGTATAACCTGACTCTTGAAGGGAACACCATATGTCCAGATATTTAATGGTATTGAATATTCTATTGTCTCTAAATGTGGCATTTGACAAACTATTGAATTCTTTATAAAGGAGAATATTTTAGAAATTCTTAACTGTGTGAAGGGTGTTAACTTTGATCTTTCTTCTGAAATTATTGCCATCATCTTAAAAATGTAGAACTTAATTCTAAAATGAAGAGTTAGAATCAACAATAGGTGACCTTTCAATCTATCTTAAACATGCCCACCCGCTGCGAGAGCAATTCTCAGATCCTACTCTCCATCCTTTCCCCATTACCCAGCAATTTGTTTTCTTTTAAGGTGCCATCCAATTCCTTTTCAAAAACTACAATTGAATCTACTTCCACAACACTAGGGCAGGACGTTCTAAATCCAAACCACTCACTGCACCTCATCACTGCTTTCATTGTCAATCTCCTTTATACTGGTGTCTACTGGTTCATGATCATGCTGCCCAGTGGCAAGAGATTTTCTCTATCAATATTGTTTAGACCCCCCGGGATTTTTAAAAAATCAAATCTCCTCTCAAACTTCTCTTTTCTAAGGAGAAAACCCATAGTTTCTTCAATGTTCAGGAAAGTGAGCTGTGAAGAGGACTTACAGAGCCTACAAAGGGATAACGATAGGTTCAGGGAGTGGGCAAAGATCTGGCAAATTGAGTACAGTGTAGGAAAGTGGGAAATTGTTCACTTTGGAAGAAGGAATAAAAAAAGACAGCTATCTGGTGGAAGGTTTACAAAGCTGCGAGAGGGAGAAAGATGTGTATCCAAGTGAATTGCAAACAGTTTGTATGCAGGTACAGTGAGTAATCAGGAAAGCTAATAGAATATTGTGTTTTATTGTGAGAGGAATTGAATGCAAGAGTAAGGAGGTTATGCTTCAGTTATACAAGGTGTTGATAAGGCTACGTATGGAGTACTGTGTACAGTGCTGGTCACTGTATATATGGAAGGATGCTAATGTGTTGGAAATGGTTCAGAGAAGGTTTACTAGACCAACACCTGGAATGAGTGGATTGTCTTATGAGGAAATACTAAACAGGCTAGGCCTCTGGAGTTTAGAATAGTCAGAGATGATTTAATGGGAAAGTATAAGATCCTGGAGGAGACTTGACCAGGTGGATATTGAAAGGATGTTTCCTCTTGTGGGAGAATCTAGAAATAAGCACCATCATTTAAAAATAAGAGGGTATCCATTTAAGACAGAGATGTAGAAACTTTTTTTCCCCCCCCCTCTGAGGGCTGAGTGTCTTTTAGAATACCCATTTCTCAAAAGGCAATGATGTAGAATTGTTAAATTGTTAAAGGCAGAGGTAGTTAGATTCTTGATGACCAAAGGGATAAATGTTTATTGGGGATATGCAGGAATGTGGAGTTCAGGTTAAAGCCGGATCAGCCATGATCTTATTGAATGGAGGAGCAGACTCGAAGGGCCGAGTGGCCTACTCTTGTTCCTTGTTCATATGTCCGTAATGTAACCTTATTACTGAAGTCTGTTCGTTTGATTATACCCAGAGTATGTTACCTGCCACAAAGCTAGCTTCTACCAATGTTGTTCCAGGTGGACACCAGTAGACTCATGAAGGTGCCATTTCCTTTGATGTTTTTCTATTGAGTAGCATGAGACCTTCACTTGAACATCCCATCACTCCCCACCGCCCCCACCTACCACAACCATCCAACACCCCACCTCTGTCTCAGTGACTATGATCACAGGGATCAGGAGGTAGGAATCTCTGAAGCGAGTGTCTAAAAGCTCATTGATATTTCCTTCACTGTCTCCTGAAAATTACACTGTCGTCTTGGTGCTTGCTCTCTCTACATGTCCCTGAAACAGTGGGTACCAGATCAGTGCGTGCTTTGTGTGACACAAGCAGGCCATTTACAAGGGCTGGGGTTCAAACCCCTTGCTGCTTTAAGAGGGCCTCTCTTGCAGATTGCTTACCGTTTCCATGCCTCCCAAGGGTGGCAGAGTTTATATTGTGGTGGTTTACATAGCCAGTCTCTCGATTGTCACTGAGCAAGGTGATTTGTTGCTATGGAGCTCTGTCTCTTTGCTGGACAACTTTTAATCCTCAGCAGCACGTGACCCCCCTTTTGTCTCGCTGGAGTGAAGCAAACTGTAAAACCGAGCTGTTTTCACGTTGCATCTTAATGGAAACAGGTGCATTGAGATACGAAACAGATAAGCAGCTGGGATGTAAAATGTGGCTCCCAACCTGAAGTGTACTCCTCACCAAGATAGATTTATCATGGAGTTTTTAATCCGTCGACACTTTCCCCTGCTTCGTGAATTTTGAGAGCAGTGCAGGTCTGAAATAATGGTTCCCTTCTGTCTCTGACAGGAAGGGTGTTATGAATAGCACATCCTGTTTGTGCTGCAGCAGGCCCCTGTGCCTTCCTCTTTCATTACCTCACCTTCCTTCCAATTTCCTTCCCAAATCACTAACATTCTTTTTGTTCTCTTTGCAGCTTTGGGGTCTAATCAAACAGGGATACAAGTGTAAAGGTAAATAAGGGCTTGCTGTCTGTTCTGGGTACCTATTGTGTTTGAATACAGGCGAAGGATGTTTTAGGGATACAGGGCTAAGAGATCTGGGTTCTTAAATTTCATGCCTCAGGAGGCAGTGAAATGTACATGAGCAGTTTGAATTCCTTATTACACCAATTGTCCATTTTTTTTTAAACCACGCTTTTATTTTTGTGAACAGTAGAGATCATAGTGTGTTTTGTCATCCCTTCATGGGATGCGGGCATTGCTGGCAAGGCGAGCATTTATTGCTCATCCTAATTGTTACAACTGAGTGACTTCCTAGTCTTTTCTGGATAAAAACCGAAAGAACTGTGGATGCTGTAAGTTAAGAACAAAGACAAAGTTGCTGGAAAAGCTCAGCAGGTCTGGCAGCATCTGTGAAGGAAAAAGACAGAGTTAACGTTTCAGGTCCGGTGACCCTTCCTCAGGACCAGACTGGAAACATTAACTCTGTTTTTCCCTTCACAGATGCTGCCAGACCTGCTCAGCTTTTCCAGCAACTTTGTTCTTGTAGTCTTTTCTGGAGGCAGTCTGGAGTTATATGTAGACCAGGCCAGATAAAAAGACAACAGAATTTTTTTCACTAAATGGCTTTAGTGAACCTGTTTTCCTTTTCCATTCTTCTGCACTACTCAAGAAAGATACTTGACATTTGCCATTATATTTTGAAGCAGTTGTCGAAAACCTGGTTGTTGGGGTTGCCCTGCTGTTATGATCACCCATCACATCACCCTGTCATTGTTCTGGGAGAGTCTACCCCTATCAATGGAAAGGAGTCGACAGACATGTGCCCTCCCCCCGCCCCCGTACAAGCAATGACATCTCCACATTGAATCAACATCACTAAGGACACATTCAGATGGTGGATACTGAAAGTTTCTACCTCATTATTAAATGCTGCGTGATTGCAAGAAAGAAGATGGTTCCAGTACACTGACAGCTCATTCTAGTTATTTTACAACCACGGCATCGCAATTGATTAACTATTGTCCTCGCTTTGCCATTTGTGCTTCTCACTCAACAGCTGAGCATTGTTACAGCCGCCATTCAACAAAGAACCCATACCAGCCTTTGGCTAATTTGTGTAAATGGAGTATGAAACATTGCAGCCATCTGCAGAGATTCTGGTTGCGCTGACTTTGGCAGTTGAGTAGTTGTTTGGAAATTCTTAATTCAGCAGTTAGCTGCAGTTTCCCTCGGGTCATCCTGCTGACTTGATGTGTTTTCAGCAATCAGAAATGGAGGGCTATGTAGTGGAAGTCCTCACTTACACGCATAAACATGTTTTTTTGCGCAGATTTAACTTTCTTTCAACTCACATCATGCCTGCAGTCTGGGACACAATGCACAAGAAAGGGGTAGTCAGCCCTCATTATTCTGTGGCCACAGATCACAGTTCAGTTTTCTCGATTTGGCATTTTTCTCTTTTGAAGTGTTGTTGTCTTGAGTTGCCTTGTCACGTTTCAGGGGAAATATGCCATGATTCCTGTGGGACTCAGTGTAATCAGGTAGAGATTTTCCAGACAGACACTGAATGTACATTCTCAGCCACCTTTTAGCCTGTAATTCCTTCTCTTTAAAAAAGAAAACATGCATTGTACTTATAAAATTTCAATATACCCATAAGCAATTTTGGCTTGTGATCTGTTGTCATGATCGCATGCTAACATTGAGCTCACTTGATAATAATGTCTGTCAACCTGTGTAACTCTGACCATTTTTTTTTGCCCTGCAGACTGTGGTGTGAATTGTCATAAGCAATGCAAGGACCTGTTAGTGTTAGCATGCCAGAAGCTGCCCAAGAGTTCCTCTTTGGAACGTACTTCACCACCTCCACACTCACATGGCTCTCTGCCCAGCAGCCCAGCAACACACTCCTGTGGAAATGGTAGGAACATTCTTATGATTCCTGGAATGTCAAATTGGGAATAATTGGAGAGGTGCATCTTTGTGATTCTTTTCCTGCCTCTCTTTTAGGGGAATGTACAATGTTATTGTTCTAAATTATGCAGTCATCATCAATAGGTTGAATGTATTATGACTTCTTTTTAAAAAATGTTAATGGGGCTAAGAGCACACCTGTTATAAGGATGCCATACTAGTACACCAAGTATTCATCCACTAACAGTGATGCCCACTCTACTGTCACATAATAATGAGTTAGTAACCTCTACTCTTGCAGAAAGCTGCCGTAGACATGATGGGCAGAATAGAACTAAGAACAGAACAGGACAACAGGACAGCACAGGATCAGATCCTTCAGCCCATCAAGCCTGTGCTGACACATGACACCATTCTAAACTAGAAACCTTTTGTGTCTATGTGGTCTATATCCCTCTGTTCCCTGTCTATTTGTGTATCAGTCAAGATGCCTCTTAAATGTTGCTATTGTATCTGCTTCTCCCAGCTCCATTCCAGGCACTTACCACCCTCTCTGTAAAAGACTTGCCTCTCACATCTCTTTTAAACTTTCACTCTTTTACCTTAAACCTATGTTATTTCTATCCTGGGGAAAAAAGGCTCCAACTATCCTCTCAGTCCATACCTCTCCTAAGTTTGTAAACTTCTGTCAGGTCACTCCTCAGCCTCTGACATTCAAGCGCAAGCAAACAAACTTTGTCCAATCTCTCCTCACAGCTAATACTGTCCAGGCCAGACAAAATCCTGGCAAACCCTTTCTGCACCCTCCCCAGAGCCTCCACATCCCACCTATAGTGTGGCAACCAGAACTGTACACCATATTACAAGTGTGGTCTAACTAGAATTCTACAAGCTGCAACATGACTTGCCAATGTTTCTATTCTAGTAGATGCAGCAAGTCTTTTCCCACTCCTCAGCCTGTTTTTGCTCCCTCCCCATTCATGGCCAATCCATTTGTAGGTATCCAGCAAGGCCACCCTAAAACAATGGCAGCTTCACAAGTATGACCTGGCAATGTCCCCCCTCCCCTCTAGTCTCCATCCCATTAAAAGTTAGCAGACCTCCACTCAGGGTCCCTCCACAATAACATGATTTATAAGCTAAGATTCAAAATCAGCCGAAAGGAAAATCAGGACTTGCCTTGTAACCAGAATCACCTCTAACTCCTTTCTAAATTTCAATTTTTTTCAGAGTGATTTTAGAATCTAATTAAACAAGTGTGTGTGAATCGGAAAAGAGTGCAGATGTAAATATTTAGCCAAAACCTAAAACAGTTGGAAATAATTATAAGGCAATCATAAAAATGGTTTTATTTACCAAATACTGCATGTCCCATGTTTCTGCTCCCAGAATACTGCACTAAAATGATGTCAAATAATGTTGGAGAAGTGCTCATAGAATTTCTGGAAAATTGGTGTTTTTGAACAATGGATTTTCAGTATAGAGGTTACAGCATGATAGTTCAAACTGAGCATCTGACAACATATTGTACATACAATTTTATTCTCTGTTGAGGCTATAAATGGTTATATTTGTGGAACAATACTACACACATACAGGGTTTCTTTAGTAGGCTTGTGGTAAAGTGGTAGTGTCCCTGCCTCTGAGGCAGGAGATTTGGGGTTCAAATGTCACTTGTGCCAGAGTTCTGTAATAACATCCCTGAACAGGTTGATTAGAAAACACCTATAGGATGCCTTTAAGGGGTTTTGTGGTGTCGTGGCAATGTCCCTAATCTGGGTCAGCAGATCCAAGTCCCACCTAACCCAACATTATTTCATGACATGTCCAAACAGATTGATTAAAACATTTTTTTTTTTAAACCAGGCCCCTTTGGAAAGTGACCCTTGGGTATTTCACTCAGATTGTCAGAATAGTTTAGCAACAGTTCCACTCCACTGGTTGTATCTTGAGCCTGCTTTCAGCACTCTGGAAGGATTACATTAAGGAATAAACCTAATTTTCATCATCACTTGAGCCTGATAGTGGAACAATCTACAATGGACATTCCTTTCCTACTCAGTCATTGAACTGGACAGCAGTTTGATTGGACAGTTTCCAACATACATCCCAGGAAACTATCTTAAAATTCAAGGAAATGAGATCATTCCACTATGTTTTTGGATGATATTAGGCCAAAATGGTTGTTTTATTCCTTAGCAGATTAATTCTGACTATGGTATTGGAGGTTTATCAAAGTTATCACATATCCTCCACATGCCCAGCTTTCAGCAAACAGTTCCTGCTATGCAGTCCATTTTCCATGTGAATCATACTACTTTTCTCATGTTTGTTGACTTTGTTTTGCTGTTATTAAAACTGTGTTAACCTGTAGTAGAATAAAATGTGTCGTTCTTACAGTGCCACATCCATTCAAAGTGGCTTGATCTGGTGAAATCTATTGCATTCTTCACCATTTTAGTGGTACATGTTGCATTTTTACAATATGCCAGACGTTACAGCCTCAATTAATTAAATACTTTTTCACAAAAATAAAAAGAAAAGCTTTTTCACCCAGAAAGTGGTGGGGCCTGGGATGCACTGCCTAGGAGGATAGTTGAGGTAGAAAACCTGAAAACTGCACTTTGATAAGCACTTGAAGTGTCATAAATTTCAAGGCTTTAGGCCTATTGTGGGAAAGTTGGACCAGTGTAGTTGGTAGTGTTTTTTTTGGCAGTACAGACAAGGGCCTCTTCTGTACAATATGATTCTAGGATCTTCCTTGAAGTGTAATCACTACTGTAACTCAGGAAACATACCCAATATGTACACAGCAACCTCCCACAAACAGGAGTGTGACAGTGACCTAATCATCAAGGTAATAGAACAGGATGCAGGATATAGTGTTACAGCTGCACAGGTGTAGAGTAAGATCAACTCTAACATATTACAGTTCCATTCGTAAGTCTGATAGCTGTGGGGAGGAAGCTGTTTGTGAAACTGTTGGTAAGTTTTTCAAACTTTTCTATCTTCTGCCCAGTGGAAGAGAGTACAAGCGGGGTGGGAAGGGTGTTTGATTATGTTGGCTGCTTTCCTGACGCAGCAGGGAGGGAGGGAGGGAAAGTTGGGTTCTCTGATTTAATGGCTAGCCTGGAAGCCGGCAGCTCTCCTTCACCATTGCACTGGAGTGTCAACTCAGATTTTCAATGTCCTATAGGAGGACTCGACCCCCAAAACCTTGTTCCTCTAAACCAAGAACTCTGCCAAGTTGATGCTGCAATTATTATAACTTCTTGCAAGAGTTGAAATTTCTCTAATCCCTTAACCAATAGGTTTGTTTGCTGTCAGGACATAGAATGCCTGTGCTTTCAATGGGGGCAAAACGTTCTGCTAAAATTCTGAAGTGGGAGATACTGGAACTGTGTGAGTAGCAGAAGACAATAATTTACATTGTGTTGGAGAAACATGGAGATATTTTCTAACTAGTCTCTGTTCAGCGATGTCATTACACACACCCAAAGCAGATGGTACTTGAACCTGGGCCTCCTGGCTCAGAGATAGGGACACTACCACTATGCCACAAGTGAACCCTATCTCCAGCTCTTCTGGACATTTTCAGTCAACAAACATGTTGACATGTTATGGTACACTCCTGGAGCAGGTGGGACTTAAACCACTGCAGCATAACAGTCTTTAATGTCACTTTATACATATTTGTAACTAAGCTATTCAGAGATGTTAGTACACCCCATGAGCCAATGGGACTTGAACCCAGGCCAGAGACAGGGACATTATCACAAGAGCCCTTCTCAGGCACTGCTTCTGTTCTCGACTGAAGTTACAGCAGGTTATTGACGTCAATCTCTGTTAACGTGTTTAAATATTCCTGTGAATGGTGAACCTCCAATTCTGATCTCTTGCATATTCCCGATTTCTTTGCTTCCTCTACTGTGGTCATTTCTTCACGTAACCTCTCTGCTTTGCAATCTCTCTTTCCTCCTTTATAAGACACTTTTAAAATCCTATCTCTTTGACAAAGCGTTTTGTAGTCTGACCTTGCGTCACCTCCATGTTGCTTGGTGCCTGGTTTTGTTTGATCATATTCTTGCGAAGCACTTTGGGATGTTTTATGATATTAAAGGGACCGTGTAAGTATAAGCTGTTGCTATCACATTACAGATGCTGTTTTATGACTGCTGCCCACTTTACATTAGGTAGATTGGACAAATCTCAGTTACACTTGCAAAGCAGGTCTCTGCTCACACACAGAATCCCTGCACTGTGGAAGCAGGTCATTCAGCCCATTGAGTCCATGCCAACTCTCTGAAGAGCATCCCACCCAGACCCACTGCCCCCCCTGCTATCCCTGCATTATCCATGGCTAATCCACCTAACCTGTACATCTTTGGACTGTGGGAGGAAACTGGAGCACCTGGAGGAAACCCACACACACAGGTAGAATGTGCAAACACAAGATAGTTACCCGAGGACAGAACTGAACCCGGGTTCCTGGTGCAGTGAGACAGCAGTGCTAACTACGGAGTCACCCACAGAGGTCCATACAACGACATCTGAATGGCAGAACAGTTGGCCCTTCACCAACTTTATAAAATCCTGGACAGCTGTGCCAGTATTATGGACCCCTGTTGAATTTTACTGAGAATTAAATCTTTGAGTAGATGCTTACAAAATTTTGAAGCAATAAATTACTTCTGTTGTCTCGGTAATGTTCCACACTATGTTAGATTATCTTGTAGCTGTACTTACTGTGTCATCATCAACCTTGTTATTACCCAGATATTTTGTGAGGGTGCTCATTGATTACTGATCATTGGTTACTGGGAACTTGTTTCATGTTTCCACTAGTGTACGTGCATGTGAAAAGTTCCTCTCATTTTAACAATACAAACAAGATTCCATTCAGCCCATAGTCCTTGCCAGCTCTCTGTGGAACATTCCACTTTCGCAGGTTCCCTGTAGCCTTGAGTTTATTTCCAAATGTGCATCCAATTTCCTTTTCAGGTTGCTGATCATCTCCGCATCCACCAGCCTGAAGGCAAAAGCACTCACTGCATTTAAAATTTGTTCTCACATTGCTCCCTGCATCTCTTGCCCACAACCTTAAATCTTCGCCCCTAGTTATTTTGTATTTTTCTTGCCTAATGTTGAGCTCTCAGTTCAGGCTAAATAAATTATTCACAACTAGTTTACTTCACGCCTCTTGCTATTTCAACTGTGGATCATTTCACTCTATCTGTAACTTTTTAAGTGAACTTGGGCTTAATAATTTCAATGTGTGTTTTCTTCACTTCACTTGCAGTTCAAGATGGAGCAGTGTTCAATTTCCCCCAGAGTAGCAGAAACCAGGCTGTCGACGGCAGGTCAATCACACTAATGACTGGCTCAGCTCAGAAGATTTCTGTACGTTTACAGAGAGCTACGGCCAGTCAGGCCACACAGACAGAGCCCCTGTGGCACGAGAGTGGGTGGGCTACTGGTGACTCAGGCTCACATACCTTCCCAAAAATGAAGTCAAAGTTCCAAGGGAAAGAGGGAAAGGACAGGGGCTTTGCCAAGTGGGAAAATGAGAAACCCAGCACATGTGCCAAAACAGAAGAGGAACATGAGCTACTACAGAATGGGATAGAGACAGAGGAAGAGCAGTGAAAGTGCATTACTCAAGGTAAAACATTGAGAACTCTCAGTACAGCCCAAAGTGCCATCAGAGTGAATAACTGGCCAGCGCTACTAAGTTTATGAAGTTACAGTTATCATAGTTTATTTAACCATTGTGTAACTGCTTTGTGTACTTGTCTTTGTCATTTTTCATAAAGTACATCATTTCCAAGCCTCTTTCTTGCAAGTATCATTAAAATGATAAACATTTGTATAAAATGCCATACCTATTGCTGCTTCACTTGCCTGTGCCCATTACACCTCAACTCCATCACAGCTGCGACATCATCCTGGCAGCTTATCAGATTTCATGCACAAATTCCATAGTCCTGGAACAGCAAACAACCACAGTTCAACGTGTTGGAAAAGTGCAAATATTGTGGTGGGCACCTACAACTTCAACAAGAAACCCACAAGCAACTCAGCAAACATCAGCAATCAAAACAACTTGAACCTGGAAAATGATTCCAAATTAATTAGAAAATTCCTGTGGCTGCTAATGTTTTCTATTTGGGTTTTCCCATTGAAAGTAACTGGAAGTTAATTGTGCAAAACTTGAAGCACAGCTTCATTTTTTTTTGCTGAGATTAATACTTACAGCACATTACATGTGTAACAAATAAAACTTTAACCACATTACATTTAATGCAGCTGTTACAATTTTAGAATATTCCCTATTTAGTCATTTGGCAGTACAGAGCTTGAGCATTGCTGAAAGAAAGGACATCTTATTCTTGTACTCATCAGGGTAATTTGCAAGAATGCTAATCAAGAAAAAAAAAACTAATATTTATACTGGACAAGAGGAGAATGCTGATTGATTGGTCAATGCAGCTTGATTGCTAAGGGTCTTTCCCTACAGTCAACCTGCCTGCTTAAATTTAAACAAGAGTCTGACAGTTAACTGTCAATCAGCATCAATGCAACGGGTGCATTCTCCATGGCAAAAGAAATGATGCCATGGCAGAGAAAAGATGAGAGAAGCATTGCATTTCATCAAAATGCCTCAGCTGCTATTTATGGTATTTTGGGCTATGAATGCATTGTCTCTATTCCAATAATACTCAGGTAGTCAGAAACCAGGAGGGTAAATGTCACCCAGGTTGTTGTGCTCTTCCCCATGCAGAAATCCCAAGTCTTTTCAATTTTAAGGCAGTCTTCTGTGCACCCAAAATAAAGAATGATTTCTGTGTTGGACCTGGGCATTGCCATTTGTGGAGCCACCCAGGTGATCCTGCAGCCTTTCTGCTGCTTGTATTTATGCTTTAGCAAGGAGTAGAGCTGGTGTGGTACCTGTTGTAACACAGCACTGAGTAAAACAAACATGCAGGAATGCTTTTAATAGTGTAAAAATGCTGCTTCTTGCTTTACTTGCTGCATCTATGACCAGTTGCAAAAGGGTAACATAATCCTTTTAACATCAACCCCTATTCCCCACATGGACATGACAGTGCAACATTCCTTGGTCTCCATGTTACTGAAGTGACAGTCTTCTATTTTTTGCATGTGATGCATTCTGGACATTTGTCTCAAATTACAATATTATCCAACATATTTGAGGAAGTCAAGTGGCATGTTTGGTGTTGTCTCTACCCACCTCTATCCCCCAAGCTGTAAGTACAAATCTCCGCCCCACTGAATTGAAAGGGAGATTGCTGGAGTTATGGTGGTTGCCAGCAGCTAGAGAGAGGACTCCATTTTTTGTTCGGCTTTACTACCCAAACACGTTACACAGGCTGACTGAAGGAGCGCTCCGTGCTGTTTTAAGGGAATGGCCATCTGGAAAATGGCAGCATTTCAAAGAGAAGCCAGTCGAGCTGTTGATCATGGGCAGACACATACAGTCTGAGGAAAACAATAGCCCAAATGCTAGAACCAAGGAACATAGCATTAGGAAATTAACCAATATCACTATCCACTCAGCAGAACTCTGACAGCCCTTGACACTAGCCCAGGTCACAGGACTATCAATGGACCTTTAAGGGTTTATATGAAGTGGATTATTCTTGTTGCCAGTGATACCTTTATCTCACCAACTTTTTAAAGCCAATACATTCACAGCTTTAGGATCAGACATGTAATCGTTTATTTAAAGTCTTGGTTCTGCTCGAGGAGAGGAGTGTTTGTATTAGGAAAATGTATTTCCTCCTATTGCAAGCATTACAGCATTCCAGGTGCAAAATGTGTGTATGTGTTTGTGTGGGTAGGAAGCTCCTCCTTAGCCCAAACCATAACAAGCACTATTTTTCATACCTCCATACTGTGTGAAAGGTCTCTTTAGAGAGGTCAGTGACAATATGCACTAGCTGGTGGCTGCTCCTTCATATAGAGCCCTCTCCCTCTAGGAAGGCTTGCTCCTCAGCTCAACTGGTAAAGATACTGGGCCAGACTTAGGGTTGCCAAGTCTTAATAATTCCTCCAAAGATCTGGAATCCATCCAACTTTTCCTCCTGATCTTCAATGTTTCAATAACCAATAAAAAAGGCGTTTAAAAATAAACGTTTGTAATGGCCTTGGTTTTCTCCAGGAGATTCAGGAAATTAATCCTCAATTATTGGAGATGTTAAGTTTTGAAGGATAAACCATAGCCAGACTCCAGACTGCATTACAAACTAGACTGACCAGATTTATAGTTGGTGGATAGTAGTTTGTTGATAAGATATTCATGGCGCATCTCTTTGTCTCAACAAACATTACCAGACTTGGAGATTTCTCTGGGACTACTAGGAGTTGCATGCACTAGTCTCATTGGGTTATTGGCTCAGGAATTGTTGTTGAGAAAGTAAAATATAGATTTCCCACATTTTCCAGTAATACATTATTAGAAACTTGCACCCAGTTTACATTCATAAATGCCATGAATTGTCAACATAACTAATAATGTGACTTCAAAAGGAAGTAAGAAGAACAAAAAACTGTGGAGCACAATAGCTGGGAGTGATCTGAAGACTATGATAAATAACACTACAGGGCATAACTCATGCAAAGAAATCTGGGCAATCTCCAGTCCACTATAAAGCAAAATGCTCTGTTTGTAACTCCATTGAGGTGAAAGCTGCATAGGGACTTTATTTGGTGGGATTCAAAAATGAATTATGGAAAAAAACTACAAAACCATTGAAAAGATTATAATATAGATTATGGCACAAATTTCAAAGCATCAGTGATTACATAGGATCTTACCAGACAGTGCCCTCTGCTGATTATGCCAGAGCTTGTATGGTTAGTTGGTAAGTTCTATACTCATTCATATGAGATAGAAAGCAAATGGGCACCACAAAAGGAAGACTTGCATTTATATTGTGTCACTGGTAAAATAAAATCTTGGGGGTTCCCAGATACATTAACCATACTTCCAGGGTAAAAACTGGAATCATTCAAGAAGAGGCACAACCACCTACGTATGCCAAATCCATGTATGAAGTGACTCGGAAAAATAAAGCATTTTGAAGGGTACAATCAGAAGAAAAAGCTCTGTCTCTGGTGGAATAGATCCTAGCTTACCAGATCAATGATGAATTTTAACTCTCATATGTTGCACACTAACTTTCACTTCAATTAGATGCACAGAGTATTTGTCATCCAACACGAACAGAAAGGTACTGCTGCAGTGGAAGGTGAGACTAGTCACAATCTAATAGGAATTGTTACTGGTACTTTTTTTAAATATATATTCATATATGAATAAAACTGAAACAATATAAAAAAGTGTGCAACTCAGAGGATGCCATCTTTAAGCATCACCCCTTCAGTACTTCACTAGAGTTTCAGCCTGCATTAGCGGGGGAAGCGATGGACTGAACTGTTAATCCAGAGACCCAGATTCGAATCCCGCCATGGCAGATGGTGGAATTTGAATTCAATAAATTTCTGGAGTTAAGGATCTAATGATGACCGTGAATCCATTGTCGACTGTCGGAAAAACCCGTCTGGTTCACTAATGTCCTTTAGGGAAGGAAACTGCCATCCTTATTGGTATAGCCTACATGTGACTGCACACCCACAGCAATGTGGTTGACTCTTAACTGTCCTCTGCCAATTAGGATGGGCAATAAATGCTAGCCTAACCAGTGATGCCTTCATCCCGTGAATGAATAAAACAAAAAAAGGCCTAATCACTTCTGTATTTATTTGAGATGGGAACAAACAGGCATACAAAATAAAAGCAACCCGAGTGAAATCATAGGTTCACATTGTGCAAAGTAAAAACTCTTCACTTATTCCATCAACTAAACCAGATGGCCCAATACTGCAAGTATCTCTGGACCCTATTCAAACAGATCATACTCAACTGACACACTGAGTTGAAGGAGAGGGCAATGCCACAAGTTCAGTACACTTCTGGATCCACACACAACATAAATGATCTGTTATCTATATGCGATTTAAAGCTTTTTAATTATGTACATTTATGCTGTTATTTTCCCATGAGGCAGGTAGACTGTTTTTGGTGAACTGTCCACAACACCAAAAACAGCTGAAGCTCCTAGTCACCCAACAGAAGTATTTCTATTCTTGCCTTTACACATACAAGACTGTTTTGCCAACAGCCTGATGGAAATTATTTCACTCTTGTGAAGAAGCAACTTGTGAAAATAGGCTAGCTTATAATCATTTTTAATAGTCACACTGTGTAACAAAAACGCTAGGGAGCCCAGAATGTGGAAGCTGTATATCTTGTTTACATCCAATTCTAGTAGCCTCTGGGATAATAATTTATTCATCCAGGAAGGAGGGCTTGGTTACAAGTTTAAAAAGCAGAAACCCAAGTTGGGACAGACAGCATTAATCTATCTACATCATCATGGTCTCAAACCACAACACATCAAACTTCTGGGGAGCTACTACAAGAGTTTACAACTTGTAAAAGTAATTGACATAACCACAGCAGGCTCAACTGTAACCCTGTGTAAGTAAATTGATCTCAGTGTGGTTGTGGTTCTTTTGATATTTTGATCCGACTCAAAAGGGGAACTGCTCTACAGAGGAAATAAACAATTAAAATTTGTTGCTCAAAATTTTAAATTGCATCGTTATGGTTGTGTACAATAAGAAAGAAAAGACTTGGGTTTTGCACATCAAGACAGGTTGTCATATTTGCATCATAATTATAAATGAGAAAATTCAGGAAAATGTAACACATCTTAAATATGGTGTACCAACATCAGTTATTTTGAGGATGTTTGGAAAATTTCTAAAGTATTAATACACATCAATAATTTGAATGTTGCACAGTAACCTTGCTGCATGCTGGAATCTGCATCACGTGAGATCTCACAGAAGCAGAGCTGGAGCAAAGAGTGGCTCTCTAATACTAGTTATAGCACACTCAACTCAGTCACATCAAGTCAGGCTAACTTTATTTTATTTCAAAAACAGTGGCATGGTTGTACAGAACTTGAATACATCTGAAGAGATAGGCATGTTGCAGAGATCTCACACTAGTCAGGCCAATCACAAAAATTTCAAGCTTTTGAAACAATTTATACCACAGGAGGCAAGGGGTGTGGATTAGTTGGTAACTGGACTCTGCCAATTGAGACAATTGCCATGGAGAGCACTATGGGAACTTTTAGGCTTCCCTTAGCTTCTGGGTATTTCAACTGAAGATAATTTATCTTTAATTAAAATTTGATTAAATCGGTCAACGTATTGTGGCTCATTTATGCTTTCTTGAAGCAGCACATATTCAAGCACAGGAACCCCCTTCCTATGCACAAAAGGCCTGCTTGCACCTTTTTGAACACAGTCCTTTATTTGTAGAGAACAGGTCTCAAGTACGAATGCATGTCACCTTCTAGCAAGTGTAAATGCACTACATTACAACCTTAAAATAAAACAGAACCGAGGATGCAAAAACAGAACCGAGGATGCAAAAACAGAAATTGCTAAACTCACTAGGTATGGCAGCATCTGTGGAGAGAAAGCACAGTCAAAGTCTGAATCCACTGACGCTTCTTCTGAAGATGCTGCTAGACCTGGGGAGTTTCTCCAGCAATTCCTGCTTTTGTAGATTACAACCCTGACCATTTATCTCTAGTTGCTTGAAAACTGATTAAGTTATTCCAAATGCTTTACTGGAAAACATGGGAAAATTAGAGTTTTCCTTTATTTTCTCCATAGCAATGCCTGAGCCAATAAATCAACTTGCTATCCTTTTATTCCTACAGTATAAATAGTTGTGATCACTTAAAATTCAGCATTGCTGCATTTGCCCTTTTGAGGGCAAGACAAATAGCTTCAACAAAATTACTCCCTTTTCAACAGGCGAGGAGGCAGTTTCATGGAAATGTCACTATAGTCAAGAAATCCAGGGTAATGTTCTGAGGACATGGGTACGAATCCAATCCTAGACGGCGAAATGGGAATTCAATAAAAATCTAGCCTGTGGCACCCATAGCATACAAACAAACAAAAAATCATTTCAATTTAAGACTCCCGCAAGAATAATTATATTAGGTAGAAACCAAGTAAATTCAGATCAAATCAGTGAAGTTTTCCTTTAAACAAAAACACAGGACTGAAATCATTTTTTGCACTCTCTCATTAACTTGATTAGAATTTAAAAGCAATGTCTCTAGTTGAGTGTGAAATATGAATTTTTGTTAGATACCCGACAATTTTACAACTTCCTGATTTTTGACATCCAAGCTTCAAACTTCAGGACTGGATGTGGCGGTAGGGGGAGCTGCAGATGAAGAGAGGGGGTGTAGTGAAATGGTGGTGATAGGTGGACATTGATAGTAGGTATCACCTGGTTGGTCAATGGGAGGGATGAATCCGGTTGGTGGCTAGAAGAGAGGGTCAGAAGGTGGAATGGAAGGGAGGAGTTGGGGCTGGAAGTGGAGCCGGGGGTTGGGTGGGAAAGTTGTTTGAAATTGAATTCTCCAATGTGGAGTCCTCCTTCTTCACACATCTTATCTTTCACCTGGGCACCCTACAGCCCAGAGGACTCAACATGGAGTTCAACATGCAGACCTGAAAAAGGGTACTACCCGAAATGTTGATTTCTCCTTTCTTCCAGATGCTGCCTGGCTTGCTGTGTTCTTCCAGCCTCCTGCTTATCTACCTTAAAACAATGCATACTGTGTTTAGTTCTGGTCTCCCTGCTACAGGAAAGATGTTGTTAAACTTGAAAGGGTTCAGAAAAGATTTACAAAGATATTTCCTGGGTAAGAGGGTTTGAGCTATAGGGAGAGGCTGAATAAGCTGGGGCTATTTTCCCTGGAGCATTGAAGGCTGAGGGGTGACCATATAGAGGTTTATAAAATATGGAGGTGCATAGGTAGGGCGAATAGCCAAAACTAGAGGGCATAGGTTTAAGGTGAAAGGGGAAAAAAGATACAAGAGGGATTTAAAGGGACAACTTTTTCATGCAGAGGGTAGTGCATGTATGGAATTAGCTGCCAGAGGAAGTGGTGGAAGCTGGTACAATTAAAAAGGCATCTGGAGGAGTACATGAATAGGAAGGGTTGAGAGAGGTATGGGCCAAATGCGACTAGATTAAATTTAGGATATCCGGTTGGCGTGGACATGTTGGACCGAAGTATCTGTTTCAGTGTTGTACAACTTTATGACTCTAAGCATTAAAATGAAATGGTTTTCTGCAATTTTTGCTTAAAAATAATTAGTTGCATGATCCACAACTGAAGGCCCGGTTGACTGCATAACATGTAATGGGGAGGTTTATCCAAATTATTTTCATTAGCAAGCAAACTTAAATGGTTAGGTACTTCTTGGTCACAACTTGTCCCAACTAGATTCAATTTTAGTCACTGTAGATTTTGGAAGCTAATTGAATTTGGTTGCTGGAAGCCATCGTAAAAGTGTTTGCCCAAGACAGGCTGCTCATTTATTGGATTTAAAAAGATAGCTAATAGATTCAGCCATCATGGATAATTATCCCCTTTAAATTGCAAAGAATGACTTTAATCTTCAAAAGAGAAAGCGAGAGAGCGAGAGAGAGAGAGAGCATGCGAGAGCGAGAGACAGACACAAAGGAAAAGAAAAAGAGACATACAAACATGTGCACAAATGTACAGGAGACAAAAGATAGAGAGAAAAAGAATCAGATTTGTACCCATATTACGCCAAACATTCAATCTTTGGATATACCCAAAGTACCAGAAATTCAATGCTGCAATGTACAGAAAGTAATATCTATGGTTTTCACAAGTACCAGTTTTTCACCAATGACCGTCAATTCAAATTGGGAGACTGGAGTGTTAATTATAGGTATTACAAATGTAAATTTTCTGTGTTGTTTTGAAACAATGCAATTCAATAAAATGATCATTTGGAATCAATACTAGAATAAGGGCAATATCTCTGTAATAAAAAAAATACAAGGACAGTTGAAGTTTGACAAAAATAGAATCTAGTTTTGTAAATCAAACAGAACACAAAGACCTAAGAAGCAAGGCAGTACACGATTTTAGAAATATTACAAGTGGCATGATCATAACATGTTTAATTTCTACCAATGCGGTTAATACATTATACCAATTAACTTGCAGTCAAAGAATGGTAGTTCTCACTCAACCAACACAACTATATCCTCCAAATCATGAAAACTGGAACAAATAGCTTTGTGCTGGAAGTTTGAGACAAATCATGTGTCAATTGTATTAGTACATTCCTTTCCCCCACCTAACACATCCTTCTATCCTCTTAAATTACATTAAGACTTTACATCCAAAATAGCATTGATTACAGAAACATTCTGCACTGCAACATTCAATCGGGGAGCTACAATGTTTGGCAGCTCCATTCAAAAAACCTCTTGCAAGTACAATGAAGATCACTTGTGAACGTGATGAGAAGTATTTTGTGCACTTAAAGTTTAAGTAGGATTTGTGGCACAGGGATGGAATAACCACGTGATATTTATTAGCAAAAACAACTCTAAATAGTTCCGTGATAGAATCAAATCGCAAATGTGGCAAGTGATTGACAAGACTCATGTGACTGTCACAAGAACATCTCAAACCAGGTTCTGGTAGGGCAAGTATGCAGTTTACCCATCTGCTGGTTCTCTATTCAATTGTTCATATTCAGACATAGTTGCTCCTTTCCATCCAACCTCTGATTTCATTCTCCATACAAGCTGAGCTCATCCCTAGCAACTTCATCCAGCAGTTTTGAAAATAAAAGTTCTTTAATAGGGAGGGTGGGGGCATGAAATCGCTTACCACAGAATATGGAAATCACAGGAAGCCATACCCTGACCAAATAATTGCTGTTTCTGGGCATGATCTTTGATTTGGATAGCTGTTTGCATGCTAGTTAAAGTGTTCCTAAGCTTTGTGTACAGCAAATTCCTTTAGTTAAGTCAGTCAAAGAGTGATTTCACTCTGCAATGAAGGAGCCCTCTACCTTAAGCAGGTACAGTCCCCAGCTCTGAATATTTTAATAATCACAAAAGTTTAAATTTGACATGATTAATGGCTTACACTAGGACATAACACCATAGGCACTGATTGACATACTGCACCACCCACCCCCAACCAATGTTATAATTTGTTAATTGAACATTTTATACATTAGCCTACATAAAGTCATTCAATCATACACCCATCACAGCATAGCCTCAATCTTTCCTCACCCAACCTAGATTGCACTCCTGCAATTCTCTGTGAAAATGTTCAAAGACAATTTGAAGAGGGAACCTTAGCTGATGTATTTTCATTCTATCAAGAACAGTAGTAGCACTCCCAACAAACCACCTATGGCTGATATCAGCTCAGAGCATTAGGAAGATCAAACTGAACAAGGTTCTGAAGCTATTAACTGAAATAGTTCTTTGTACTGATCAGGTAATCTGTTCCCACACTTAAATAAATTAAGCAAGTACATCTGTTAAATAACAAAAATTTATTTAATTATCTGTACTACATTAGGTTCCACTGCATTAAAGAATCAGCTATGTTTTATGGGCCAAGCGGGATCTCTCTACCCACAGTCAAAACATTGCATCAATCCCTGAAAAAAGCCAGAGTCTTAACAAGAAAATCTTAACAGGCAATCTTTAGACTTAAATGCAGCTTAGATTTTCAAGCCTTTTTGAGAACAGAATGTACAGTGTATACACTGCTGATTTAAATAACTTCAGTTTATATTCTGCCCCACCATTTTTGGACAAATTAGTGCTAAATCCTCAATTTAATTTTTTTTTTTAAAAAAAAAGAGAAAGCACTTTATATTACATACAAATAGGACAAACAAAAGATGATTCTAGTTGCTGACAAATGCTTTGCCCGTGTTTTTGGTCCCTACAGATGAACCGGAGGGATCTGATCAGCAGTTTCAGCCAAAGACAACCAGTTAATGAGCAAGATAGAAGTCTTTGGCAACAGTTTCTTTGAAATAAGACACAGTAACTGGATGAGAGAACAACAGATCAAAAATACTTCCTGACAAGAATAGCACCAGTTAGCTATCAGCTCCTGTTGACCAACAGCTGTTACTCTCAGTTTACAACACAGTGACCTCTAGTGTGCACCAAGTGCCAAAAACGGCAAAAATCCTACTACCCAGCTGTAGTACAACCTATCCAGAATACAATGTCTTTAAAAGTTACATTCTCAGAGGGCTACAGTGACTTCAATGCTGGCAGATCAATTAAAAATTTCAACAGAAAAACTATGTTAACTGTCACGTTTTGCTCAAACTGAAAAGAAATCAATAATTAAATCACAACACAAGGATGTGTATATAGGATAACTTGTTTCACATTTGCTTTTATTTCCAGCTCTTTGACCATGGGTTAATATTCAGCAACTGCCTCAACTTCCAAATAATGAAGTGTGCCATATGTGATCAGGCCCTTGCCAATATTTCAATGGGAACAAAAACAATTTGTATTTTACAAATACAATCAGCCATTCTTGGCCAATATTTTCACTTGTCTGTAGAATTATAGGCATTGTGCATAATTTAAGGCTGAATTAGTTAAACCTACACATTAGCCCTTTCTGTGCCAAATATCCTTTGCAGCTTTCAAACTACACACATTTGCAAAAGGGATGACATACAGTAAACTTCTCAAACATTATAAGTTAGAAATACACAAAAAACCATGGGTGTCACCCAAACAACAATTTCTCAATTCAGTGTTTGGGTAAAAATGCTAATATGCATACACACACTTTCTTACACACTTTAAATAAAAGATTGGTACTGAAATCCTCTTTTGATACCCAAAGGACTCTTCCCCCTCATCCATTAACTCTGTTCAACTAAAATCCACTAATTCCAAACAGCAAAACAGCACAGGGATACTTAATTGCTTATCTTTCACACTGGTCATTCACTCTGCTTGTGAAGTTTACAGTTATGTACAATTAACAGCCAGCAGGAAGTTACCATTTGGCTTAATCTCGAGGACAGAAGAGAAATGTAAGCTCTGCAAATGTTTTTGTTGAAAGCGCCAGTCTATTTGAAAAGGAGGCTTCCAGGCTCAGTTGGGGCTTACATGTTTGGTCTGTAGTGCACTTTCAACAAAATAAAAAGAGTTTTAATCTTGTCAATGACAGTTACACATGCAGAGAAGCAGGGTTTTTTTTTGCTGCGCTCAAGTACAGTTTTAAGCCTAAAACCCATTTTTTGAAGAGTGGGGATGGGACATCAAAACAAAGGTTTAGAATCACAAGCCTTCACTCCTGCTGAAAGCAGGTATTTCTGCTTTCCATTGTTTAACAAATAAATCTGCAACACTGCTGATTCAATACAAGGTATTGGATTTTAGAGGCATTCGACAGTTGGTAACTATTTATGGCTGAGTCTGTGACTCTTGTAGGAAGAAGCCAATAGTCAAAGCTATGAATTATTAGCTAGAATACTGCCTACCTTGATAGAAACCAGAAGGATTGTACTGTTGGCCACCATGCTGGAAATATTGCTCAAACTGTCCTCCCTGGTTGTAGTTTAGTCCACCTCTGTTGACCCACCCAGCACCTTGTCCCCCACGCCCTCCACGACCCCCACGACCACGACCTCCACGTCCTGCACCTCGTCCTCCACCCTGTTCATGGCTGCTATCTTGATTTCTGTTGTCTTGATGTCCTTGGTAGCTGCCTCCTTGGTAGCTGCCCCCTTGATAGCCACCCCCTTGATAGCTTCCACCACCTCCATGGTAGCCACCTCCTTGGTAACTGCCAGCACTGCTTTGGTAGCTACCACTGTGGTAACCACCACTATGGTAACCACCATGCCCCCCTTGATAGCTAGAATCTTGATGACCGCCACTTCCGTCTGACCATCCACCTTGAATTTTTCCTCTGCCTCCGCCACGTCCTCCTTGTTCTGTCCTATCATATCCACCACGGCCCCCACCTCGCCCGCCTTGGTCATATCCGCCTCTTCCACCTCCTCCATAAGAGCCGTGGTCATATCCACCTCTTCCACCTCCTCCATAAGAGCTTTGGTCATATCCGCTTCTTCCACCTCCTCCATAAGAGCCTTGGTCAT